CAAGCATTTCAATTAACCTCCACAGTTGTTACTGATTTCAAAGATCTTTAGTTTAGCAGTGACACACAAAACTAAGATTCATCTAGCGGACACCGTCCATTAGTACTAGTGAGATCAACAAGTCATAATATCCTTAAACTGTTCACTAGATCCAGTGAATCTCTACCAGCCACATAAATCATGCTTTGAGTCACAACCAAACATAACTACGATTCCGGTCTTGTGTTTGTGTGGTGTTTGTATGGACTAATGATTCCTTTGTAATTGTTGAATGCTTGATTTTGAATTCCAAATACAATACATTCATTTGTGCTTATCGAGTACCTGTTGATTAAATTGCGTTATTTCTGGGGTTCTTAATTTGTACTATAATTCAAATACTTCTAATTACCACTTTGTAAGAACTAGTGACATTTTCGTACTGGATTGTCTGCTCGTTACGAAAATCATATACGTTACATTCGTTTGTGATCATCTAGTTCTATCTGGCCTAGATTGCACTATTTCGGGAATTTCCAGCTAGTACATTAATTCGATTAGTGCTAATCATCATATTGGCGTCACGATGGAGCCTGTGATTGAATAGTTGGATATACCTTCAAATTATGAAGCTTTTAAGGATTAAATACAATGGTTTGAAATCTGGACTATGACTAGGAAAGATGTTAGGGATGATGAAATTGTGGCTCATTTCTTCACATTCATTGGAAACGATGCTTACACAACTCTCAAGGAACGTCTATTGAATGAGTAAAGTGTGCTACTTTCGAATGCCGTGAGAGAGTAAAATTTCATAAAATGATTCTCCTGGACAACCCAAACGCTAGAGAATTTATCCTTCAATTGCATAAATAGGCTGCCAAGTAACATTTTGGCAATCAACTCCATGTGCAGCTGCGTGATCGATTGACTGCAGGTATTAACATACCAGATCTGGAAAAAGAGCCCAAGCAAATGAAGAAGTGTTCTTTTCAAGATGCTAAAAAATGCCAAGTCTGCTACTGCAGCAAAGTTACAAGACCGGAAGAGGATGGTAGAGAACGTCCCTCAGTGCAAAATTAGTAACTCGAACGCAAAGAAAACAATGATGAAATTGCTTAAAAAAATAATCTTCGTAAAAAACTTCCTCTACAATCTATGGGAGGTTTGATAAAACAGGTCAACAAATCTGTAGTTGATATGCAAACCAGTCACAACAACCGAATACGTTACAAGGAACCAGGTGAGTTTGTTACAATGCCGGTTGTTAATTCTAATACTAATGACTACACACCATATCATACAGAGTTTACATCCAATACACAGTCTAACAAATACACAATGAACCTAAGGAGAAGCACAATTGATTAGGGAAATTTGGACTTTCTTTTAAGATATGATGGATGTGGCATTCGTACGAACTAATGATTTCGTGATTTTTCGCATACTACGAATCCCAGATACAATAGGTTCGTTTTTGCTCGCCTAGTTTTACTTGCTGTAAATTGCACTATTTTGGGAATTCCTGGTTAGTACAATAATTCAAACACTCCTAATTATCATATCCGGACATCTCTCCGAAGCCACTCTCTCTCTCGGGTATTCTGCCTAAGCATACTCAATATGAAACCGATACATTTGCACATCATGCACAATCTATAAATGCTTGTGGTGTACGCCATTTGTGTCAGCTGACATAGGCCCAGTAGGTCTCTAGGGCGCACGCGTTGAACGTCCCGGATGCTGGAGAAAATCGGATTTCGATGGCCCGGTCGGCCAACGGAGCTACGAAGGTCAGCACGCCGTAGACTCAACATGTTGACAGGGAGCGTGGCACAAATTGAAATGGAAAAGAAAGTTACTCGGTGAGCAGAACAACCGCAAGAACGATTGTTCATAGGGGGGGGGTAAGCGTGGCGTATACTTCTTATGTCTTTTAATATAAGTAGTATGTGATAACAATCGAAAGTGGAAAACCTGGCGGCAGAAGACTAATATCGAATTGAAGAGAACAGAACGAAATATGGAAAGGGATTGTGAACTTGAAGATTCTTACTGAATGTGAACGACAAACGATGGAAATTCGCAGATAAACTATTCATTATATGATTCTTATATTTTATCGTAATACTCTGAGATATTGTATTAAAATACATTGGTTATTCACACCCGAGTTCTCATTCATTACACACTGTCTTACCGTTTGGAACTAAACTAAATCAGGTGTAATTATGTATACCATTCACCACGGCAGTTTTTGCTTAATAATCCAAGTATTCTTACACTGCACATAAAGACCATCAGTTACTAGCCGGTAATATTTATTCTACTACTGTTCATTACAACTTATTCATACTCAATTATTGTTTCATTTTTGTCAGTAACACGGATCAGAGGTAAATTTTGGTTGTAATTGAAATCTGCCTAACTATAACCAAGCTTCTAATGATAAAACATAATTAATACTAGATATTAACCTAAACTACTGGCTTAATTTTTATCATATCACTCATTTATTTCACCTTATTCTTAATAGCTAAGGTCGGATGGAGTTACACGGATATTTTTCCCTGTTCGACAAGCATGAAACACTTAGGATTTTTCAATAGATTTTGGCCAGTTTATTAGATAAGTACTGCATGTAGTAGTGCGAATATTACTTTGCATTTCGTTTTAAGCATTCGGAGTTATCGCACATGTCTATTGAGAACACGTTTGTGCAGTGCACTCTAACATGGATAAGAAACACGGATATGGTGAGGTGTTATGCTTGAATCAAAAATTACACTCTTATAGTGGGAACTCATTCATTTGAATATTCTACGATCCAAGTTGCTGCACATTTGCTGAACATATCAGAAAAGCCAGATTTCGTCACCCTCAAAATTCAGCTCTATGTTGGAAGATCATTGTAATAGCCCCTAAAGATTCTCATACAGTATGCTCTCATCACTTAAGGTCCATAAGTCGGTCAAAAATGACAATTCAGAACGCTGACTTCTGTCTTGGCCATTAAATGCGACCTACGAGCTTTTCCACGTGAAGGTGGTACTAGGATAAATGCCTGAGAGCTATTCATTGATCTCAGTTCTTTAATGTAACAAGTAAGGACTAAGACAAACATGATTCGACCGTACCAAAACACGATAGACGCAAGTCTTTGGTCACTTCACAGCGTTGTCACACTCATATATTAGGGCCACTATCAAACTCACTGGTTAACACTTTCGTCGGACACTTTAGGTATGCTGATCATTTTGTATTATGACGAGAAGCAATTTCCATCTGTAATTGCGTGTATTTACAACTCCATTGAGAAGTGAGTTGCTAATGTCAATCAAAATTCAATTTTTTATGTGGGAACAGGAGACCTTTAAATCGACAATAAGCAGTTATAACTATTAAGCTGCTGATCTCATGGTCATCCTCTTTCCATGTCTAAGTATATTCTATTTTCGACTAAATGTGATAACGATTATCAAAGTTTCATTTTTCCTTCAATTTTGTCTAATAATTAAGAGTACCTGGTCATCAGGATATCTGATACTTCATTGGGTATTCAACAGAATATGTAGATTACACGTGATGATATGCAAAGTAGGCAGCTGGACACCGCTATTTGAGTTTGTCGTATGTTTAGTCTGGTAAATTAGTGATACATGCATGTCGACCTCATTTTAATAAATCCTTTTGTCCCTCTTCTGTATGTGATCTATTTAACACTGTATATTACCATTTAATATGAATTTTATTTATTCTACTGCACTGAAAGAAAAACATTGGTACTAACACTGTCACCGGTATGAGAACAGATATCATCACATCTTACCGGGCATCATAGTATTAGCTAAATAACTCTTATCAAATCTATTTCGGTTATTTTCTGGGATAGTTTTTGGTTGAGAAGGCTATTCTTTACGGGCTATTGGGTATTGAAATGACCTTCAAGTTATGATGGTACCGAATTAAACTGTGCCGCACGACCTTGTGGGTAACGGTAAAACTCATCGTATTTCAAAAACGAAACAAAAGCATCATCCGGACCATTCTACACTGGTTATTAATCATCTCACTAGTTATTCGCTTTCCCCGTAAATAAGTTGTGTTATTTTAGCAATACCGTTATCCGTATAAAAAATACTGGCTGCTGAATATCCAAGTTTGGGGAAATCCCCAAAATTTGAAGTATACTGCAAAGCCAAACTGAAATGTCGATGTAATTGGGTTTATTCATTTGTTATTCTCGAACCAGTATTGCCGTCTAAAGGGTTGTCGGCCTTCGGTGCGTGAAAAATATGAATTCAGCCAATCTCCTAACTTTGATAAAATTGTGATTGTAGACTCCAAAATTTCTCTGGCTCGTGTTTCTTACTCAATTTACTTGATAAAAGCACGCAAAACGTAAGGGAGAATTTCAAGTTCTCCTCAAGGTCTACTCAGAATTATCACCAGCTCTGTGGGAATCCACTGAACTTCGTCCACACTTCGCAATCTTTCTGATTAAACCCTTTGCGAAGCCTAGTCTCACGAAAGGACTCTAAGAACGTAAAAATTAATTTATGTGCACAAAGAAACGCAGGTTGTAGGCTGGTGGGTGGAATCGATAAGTCTTCTCCTTGACTACTGTTAAACTGTGTGTTTTGTTAGCTATAATACAAACTAGTATAATCAGTAATTCATGCATATGCTTAAGTAACAACATATGGGATTGTCGTACTGACGATTGGTCAGTTCATTTAATAGCAAATTATGACGCAACTGGAAATGCTTATTCAACGTTCACCATCATTTTTAACAAAACTAAATTTCATACTATTGGAATTCGTGAAAGCTAAAACTGGGATGAACTCCGCAGTTTTTCAAGTCAATAATAAGACGAATTCCGTAGTTAGACTTCATTGTTTCCCTATCGTTCTGTTTTATAGTTGCATACTACACAATGTTGAATTTTTGTTTGTCATAATGAATATGAGGTACTTATTTTTCGTTCTTCAAGAGTTATTTTGACCTCGATTTGGAGAATGTTCCACTTTTCAAAACTGCGCAACTTACGCAACATTTTGTCTTGCACTATGCACTGTGGTTGTTATTCTAGTTTTTCCAAATCTCCAGAACAACTATCTCAAGTTCTAAATAAGCACTTGTTGGAACGTATTAATACTTTCGGACCCTTAACTGTAGCTGAATACATGAAAGAATGTTTATCTAATCCACTATATGTAAGTTGTAAGAATTTTTAGTTGTTTACCTTTCAGGGTTATTATAATACACACAGTGTTTTCGGAAAATCTGGAGATTTCACCACTTCACCTGAAATATGTCAAATCTTTGGTGAGGTAATCATGTTTCTTTTGCTTAAAATACGCTAGTAGTTAATAGGTGTATGGTTGTTGGAAGAATGGAAAAGACAAAACAGCCCTAAACACATGCAACTCGTTGAACTTGGTCCAGGACGTGGCACACTTTGCTCTGATATACTGAGGGTTAGTTTGATGAAAATATGTTTTTACTTTGATGGATCATAATAATATCATTATTTATTCTTACCTAAAAATCTAGCGTATGTTAGCGGTCTAAAAGTTTTGCAAAAGTATATATAAATCATTTACATTGTTTGGTTCTCGGTAATCAACCTGACCCTGAAATCAGTAGAATTTCCACGAAAACATTTCCTATAAATCGTTGCGTGGTTTATTTTTAAATACTTAGAGGAAGTTTACTGCTTTTGCTCTGATTGTCTGTGGACATTCATTCGTAATCTGACCTAGATAATACAAGAATGTGTTGCTATGTTTATAACCTTGGTATTACTTAAAATTGGTCGCGGTAGCAAAGAGATTCATTCTTTATTTTCTCTTGCATAGGAAGTCTAATGATTACGTTAACCAATTTACGGTGACAGGTTTATAAATATAGAGTAGCCGTTCAGTAGCCGAATTACTAGACTTTTAATCCACTGATTCACACATGTAAACACATCATTTAAATATTATTATTCCTTTGATAGTGAAAGTGATTCCCAAAGTTAAGTGCATGAACCTATATGTGGTTCAAATAAAAATGGCATTTACTAACAGTCTCTTACTAGTTTGTAGTTATACCATTGATTAATTTAAATAACATGGGTTTGTTAGTTATTGAGGTTAAAGTATAGTATACTGACAATCCAGTTAGAATTAAAATGGACTTCGAATGTTTGAACGATTTCCAAAAATGAGTGGCTTTTATCTTTCACTACATGTGTAATGGTAGTGTCTTAGTATAGACATCAGAATGTTTTTATAATTGCCGGGCACTCACTTTTTCACACAATATTACATAACACATAAACAAACCAGTCTTCGTCACAGTTTTCTTTGTTTAAAACTACAAAGAAATCGTTTGATTATTGTTTTGCTGAAGAATAGGAAGGCTGGTGAAGTAGGTATACTAAACTAGATACTTCGTTTTACACATGGATTTCTCATATCGAAATGGGGACAATGATATCTTTCCTATGACTCGATCTTCCTGACTCTTCGGAGAAGTTAGGAACAAAGATTTTCTAGGTAATAATGAATTTTCCGGTAAAAATTTGTAGTTATAAGAACGACTCGAAAACAAAACTTTCAGCCTAAAAATGTTTTCATTCACACAGATGAGATTATGTAGCGATACTCCTACTATATTAAAATCAGATAACTGATAATAACCCTCGATAAACTATTGAACTTCCCAAGTCTACTAATTTCTGACAGGTCTGATTATTTTTGTTGCAAAATACTTCCTATATATGCAGATCCTCTGCTCATTGACTGGAAAATGACTTCAAAATCAAAATGTCATTTTAAAGATCCCTCAATTTCGTTCACATACCGTACTTTAGTCGTTAATAAATTACTAACCTGCATGAAATGTATCTTAATCAATTGTACTTCATTTTATTCCAGGTTTTTTCAAAATTCCCAAACATATATTCAACATTATCAGTACACTTAGTTGAAATAAGTCAGTCAATGCAACAGACTCAAAAGCAAACAATAGAAAAAACTCTGTCACATTTAGATAATAAACCTCCACCTATATTTTGGCATACTGACTTACGCCAAGTTCCTGAAAAATTTTCATTTTTTATAGGTCACGAATTTTTCGATGTTCTTCCAGTTCATTGTTTTCAGGTAAGTCATTATATTTTGTAATGGCTTCATATACGCTTACAGGAATATGTTCTTATTTAAGTAGTTAATAATAATTTGAAGACTATGCAATAAATATGCTATTTTTATCCTTTTAATCCTATACTTTTCATAAGTAATTGTGATCTTCTATACACATGTATCTTTTATGATCGATCTCGTTTATTCCACTAACCGTGTACCTTTCGATGTCTATGCGTATGTGTGTACTCATTTATCTTATCCATTATCTATATTGTATATAAAATTTTACAAAATTATTTAGCTATCCAGCTAGTATGCTGACTCCATCTTGTATATGTTCATATTTTCTACTAGTTTATGCTTATACGAATACCTGAATTTTTTATGTAACATTTCATATGTCGGTCTTTAGTACCGCGTTGTATACACGTCTCAAGCCAAGAAACTTATGCAAAATTATATATATATATATATATATATATATATATATATATATATATATATATATATATATATATATATATAGAAAGAGAGAGAGAGAGAGAAAGAAATAAAGACCAATAAGTATTGAAGTCAGATGCCCACTAAAATATTCACGCAATTATTATTATTATGATAGCGCTATGCAATTATGACTGTTTGTTCGCTTTATCACTCGTTTGTTTTCTTCTAGAAACATGAAGGAAAATGGCACGAAGTTTTAGTTAGCTCCATGATGAATTCTAATAGCTTATGTTTTGTACGTTCAAGCACGAAAACTCCGGCATCAATAGCATATCTTCCGGTAAGCTGCTTATTTCCGTTTATTAAATAAAGTGAAAAATTACCCCAACATTCATTTTTTAAACATAATCGCATAGTATGTGATCAAAACTAATTTCTGTGCATAAACTTAAAGTACTATGAACATTAGCATTTTATTTGTTCAATTTTTGTATCAACTCTCATCCTAAATTGCAATTTCTATATTGCGATTTCATTTTAGGACACAAATAATCTACCTAATAATTAAGATCTTGTCCGCAATTAACTTCTCTCAGACTGAAAATGAGACAGCTTAACTATTTTACTAGTGTGATTGTTAGACAGTGCACTCAATAACTTAAGTGAGTAATGCTGAGATTGAACTCAGAGTAGTAGGTAAAGATAGCAAGTTATTTGATGAAGAGGTAAATCTTTATTGAATGGAGTGGTTGGAAAATGTATTACATATGCCCAACAACTACCTACTACGTGCTATATCTGATGTGGGAGTAGATTTGAAGTAAGTCAGTGATAGCCAAATTAAAATCTAACATCAGTTCATGAAGCCACTGACTATTGAACTAAGGCTTGTAGATAGATACAAACTGGTTAAGGTCCACGAGATTATCCTAATCGATGTTATGAGACGTTGAACGATATAGCTTTAAATCGATCTCAATGGCTCATATGCACTCAATCTTTGGTGTCAAATACTTATACCTTTTATTCTATAAATTTATTTTCTTATATCATAATATTTATGCCTTATTTTTGTTAGTACTATCAATACTATTGCTGCATATGGTAATTTGGCATTTATCTTGAGAATTTCATTTCTTTATACTGATTACTATTAGTAATGTATTTATTTGAACTTTTAATTGATGATATTCAGTTTTATTTTAATTGTCGAATCATATAGGGTCAATTTCACTTGAGCGTTATTATTTAGAATTGGAAAAAATCAGAATATTTTGTTATTACCTCTCGAAATCCATTAATTAATTACATTCTAAGTAATGAGATTAATATCAAATAGTCACATTTTTATTTTATTCGAACACATAGATATTAGTACAAGGAGGGCACCGAATACATATGCGCCACACAGATCTCATTTGATTTGTGTGAGAGCTGTGATACTGCCCGCGTGCCCAAACCTAAGCAGGTGGTTTTCTTAGGGGGCCACACCTGGAGCCTTCGACCTGAATGTTTGATCCACAAGGCAGTGGAGCATCGTAAGGAGATGCAGTAACATGGTAGTCGGTGACCAACGATTGATTCATACGCCATTCGTTCCCTGAGGATACTGGATCCCATGTGTACCATTGGTTTGGAATCAGGGTTTTCCAACTCTCCTAGGCGAATACTCCTTGTCCACCAACCCGGTTAGTGTTGGATATTCGCTTTTCTCCCTCTCAATTTTGTAAGCAACTCCCCCTCCGCGAGGTATTGAGTAGGACTTCCCTGGCAATGGCTGAATATGCGTGGCCATGTGAGAGCATTTCGAGAGAAAGAGCTGACTCGCCCCACTCTCGGCCGTACCAGTGCATTCGGGGACATGAGTGTTTTATTAGAACCGAATAATTATTGGCAATATCGATCGATAAAATATAGTAAAGAAATTGTATGATATAATAGTCACTTACAAGTAATATAACCCTACTAAATAAGTCTCACAAATAGCCAAACTAATACTTATGGTATATACCTCTCTATATAATTTCTACTGAGACAAAAAAGTTGTAGTTGATATAACCTTGGGACTATGCAATCAAGCGATATATCGTCATTCAATTTTGTCTATTCAATTGAAAATCAGATGTCAGAGTAATGATATTATGATGATGTATAATACGGAGTTATTAGAAATAGTTCGGAAGTCCAATGAATGCACAAATTAAAATAATTTCTTATTACAGCTGAATATGTCAGTTTTTTTACTGAACTTTTGAAAGCAAAAGTGACATGTTTGAATCATTGAAATTGATTAGAGAGATTTAATTTTATAAGTAGTCATTGAAACCACCCTCATAATAAAGCTAGGCAATAAACAAGTCTGGATAATGCGTAAGATAATAAAGGTTACCAGAACTATGTGATATTTTCGGACAGTACATTTAAAGCAATCTAATCACACACATACTTTTTATGACATAAATCAATGTAACCATTTATGATAGTTTACACGATAAGTATTGTCAATCCTTATCTTCTCTTTGCGCTGAATGTTTAAGTTTACAAAGTTATCTCCAAAAGCTACCTATTTTTGGCATTATTATAACTTGCAATTTCGTAGCCATATGTAAAGCTTATGATTGTATAAAGTGTCTTTTCATAGATATTTGTATCAGTCTAGTGACTAAGGTACTCGACTTTCAGCCACTAAGTCCAAAGTTTGGACTCAAATTCACTTATTTCGGTTCACAAAGCCGTGTAGTATCATTAGCTTTCACATTTAAATTGTTTCACACCCCATTACCTGGTTAATGAGTTAATGAATCAGATTTATAGTATTAGGTAATTGTAAATTTCTTTCAATTATTTTTTATAGTTAGTTCCTAATCTGTCAAACCGAAACTCTGTGGAAATCTGTCCTGATATGATATGTATCACACAATTATTATGCAAACGAATTAATAAAACGGGTGGTAGTGCACTGTTGATTGATTATGGTCATGAAGGTGAAAAAGGTGATACATTTCGTGTAAGTCAGTCTTTGCATATGTCATTTAACAATTTTCAGTATCATTTCATGTAATTTGTTATAAAAACTCAGTCGATATAATAAAATACTGAAATGATTGTGAAAGGGTAGTCAAAATTATAATTCCTTCATAAAATCGACTACTCTCAAATCTCAACTGAATCTATTTCAGGCGATAATATCAACTGGTCAATTAACTGTATAAATATATAGGATATATATTAGAATGTATCTAAGATGTCTCAGTTATTTACACCATACTCAAATAAAACAGTGTAATTAATCAGCCAACAATTGAATAATCAAAAGATTGAAATAAAATGAAACGAAGTTTTACCTCCGCTTATTTATATATTTCAACACATAAATGTTGGTACAAGTGGGCACCGAATACACATGCGCCACACAAGTCACTTGGTTTGTGTGTGGGCTATGATACTGTCCGGGTGTCCAAACCGAAACAGGTGGTTCTCTTAGGGGGCCACACCCCGAGCCTTTGACATAAAGGTTTGATTCACAAGGCAGTGGAACAACATCAGGAGACACAGTGTCATGGTAGTCGGTGACCAATAACTGGTTCATACTCCATGTGAGAGCATTTTGGGAAGGAAAGTTGACTCCCCCCTCGACCGTACCAGGGCATTTGGGGGCTTATTGTATCAAAAACTTAGCTTGGGAACTTTTAGTGGCCCGAAATTTGAATCGATTGAGGTCGCTTCTGATTGGTATCTAAATATACATATTGCCAATCCTCGTACATAATTATCAACTTAACTCGCTTTAGTGAATAACAGAATTAAATAAGTCAAATACGAGGATGGATTTTTGAATATGTATATTTCGTATAATCGTTGGTTAGAAAGCAAAGTAAAACGAAATGACGCCTGATGGAGAAGGCGAGTGAGCCAACTCGATTTAACCAAATGTGAATCGATGTTTATAGTCAGACAAAAATAAGTCACAGACATGTGATGAGCACGATAAGAAATGCACACACATACGACCATATAAAAAACAGTCAGGGTTGATAAGCGAGTAATTAACAAGGTCAAAATGTGACATGGAAAGAATTAATAAATTATCCAGTTCAGAAGCCAAAATTAGCTATGTGGACTTGACAGCAACCGACGCTGCAAATTCACTCCTCTGCAGTGTTTCTTCAGTATTTACACTTAATCCAACGAGGTACAAAATTATGCACTTGGCTTTAAACCATATTGTATGTGTTAGATTAGGTGGTACCAGTGGTTGATCAAGCGGGAACTGGTGGTGAGGTATTCGGATCTGGGACTTAACCGCTGAAAGATGTATGCTTTAACCACTGAGCTACCATTGTTTACACAGTCGATGTATTTTTGTATAAATTTGCACTAAAAACTTTTTTTCCCATTACAACACTAATACATCCTCTCTTTTATTTTCCTTACAGGGTTTTCATAAACATTCAGTTTGTGATCCTCTCATCAATCCTGGTCACACTGATCTAACATGTGATGTTGATTTTAGTATTTTATGTCAGGCAGTCAAAAACTCCGATGCTAAGGGTTTGTTTATTATTTAATTCATGTATATTTTATTCTATGTTCTAATTTCTTTTTATAAAATTAAATTAATGTTTTCCTGTTTCGCTTATTTGTTTCAGTGATTAATTATTATGATTATATTATAGTAAATAAAACCGTTTGCATAGAACTCCTTACTAATATTATTGATTATCAGATTGATACTATTGATCATGAAATTAACTAGTTAACTGCCAAGGAGAGAACGCATTTTATCCATTTTTTTCTTTTAAAGTATTACCCGGGGGACCTTGTAATATTCGCCTTTTGGTAGTTTCGCGTCTAGTCTGAAGGTACCTTGTATGTTGGGAGAGTGTCAGAGGGAGTGTATGAGAGAATCTGACAGAAAAAAGTTGGTCTGTGCTAGGTTTGAAGCTATCACGAGTTCACTTAGACTGTGAATGAAAACAAAAACTCTGTGACCAAAGACGAATAAGCTAGATATTCTGATGCGTCCCAGCCCCGCTAACTAGAGGAAGAATTCCAAGTTTAGAATGGGGAAGTACATTCTGCAAACAGTCAAAAACGAGTGATCACAACAAACACTAATCAAAACGTATAAATACAGTACAAAACCGTCCTTGGGGAGAGTTACCAAATAGCATACTAAAGGACGCAACGGACCGGTAGCATTTGAGATATTTCCCAAGTGAGAAATACGACATGAAGGTGACAAGAGTGCTTTTGGCGCGAAAACAAAGAAATTCAAATTTTCTAAATAAAATTACAAAATTGGGTCTTTTTCCAAGTGAGTTCTGGAGATCTAACATCCCCAACAGTCTGATAACTCAATAAGCACATAGAATACACTTACATTTAATAACGAAAGCAATCGACAACAGTTAGATGTAACACTAGTGTTAGATTAAAACGATCGGATAATCGAAACTAAAAGTTGATAGCGTAAGGTTTCTGTTAAGTTCGCTACTTGATTAATGCAGAATACAGTTTACGACTACGACACTCTAACGTTGAACTTCACCGTCGCAAATCAGAAGACAGAAGAAAAGCTGGAGAAGTGTTTATTTGGTAAGAATCAGTGTACAGAAATCACGGGTATTTATAGATATTAGCGTTTGTTAAATCAACATTATATTTTGGCCAATCCGCTAAGAGACATATTATGCTACTGACCAGTAGTAGCATGCCATGTTAACATTTTAGAAAGCTCAATCATGTTCTAATTGGATAGAAAATCTTTGGCTCCTTTAGGGCCTCTGGAGGCTCCGTTGTAGTTCTCGGAAACCGACTCAACAGTTTCGAATGCACTGCAATTTCTCTCATTTGAATGTACATAATGACGTTTGCTGTCGTCCGATTAGACTGTACTTGATATATAAATTACATGATTTTCAAATGTGTACGGTGACATATCTAGTTGTCTTAAACCACAACATCGCTAATTAATCGCATTTGAAAGCGTATAACTACCGAATCTTTACTCAAGAAAAAATAATAACAGTTCTCATTAACCAATAAGACACTTCGAGGTTTTTCAGCCCAATCATCGGAATTCTTGACTTTTAAATCTGGTTTGAATTAATCTACTGCATTTTACCATTAGTTTATAACCTTAGTACACAATTCTGTACAAGTATATTAAGTTCCTTTAAGTACTTTCATTCAGTAAATCACACATAACGTGAAATTTAGCACATATATGCATTGATCAAATTTGCCACACTCTCAGAACAGCGGGATACCTGAGTAACAGAAGTGGTAGTTATATCGGTCGTTGCAGAAGAGGTTAGACTTAGGCGGAACGATTCTGTAAAGAAGAATAAATTCTCAGGATAAAAAGGTACAAGATCTTTTCAAAACTCAGCACCTAAAAGAAGACAAAGATTGAGTTCATTTACGCCATTGCGTACGATTATTAATCATTTCACCCAATGTTTCTAACCACTAATCACAACAATTTCGCGGACCCTAACCAATTACCTTGCACATGTATACACGATTCAGTCCAACAGTCAACGATGTTATGGACTAACACCACATCAAGTGATTTAGCTCCTCTTTTCATTTTTTTGAAGTTGTAGTCGGTAAAGTGAGAATAATCTCTAACTGTAATTCTCTGCTTCATATCTCTGTTTATATTTTAACTAGTAAAATTTTCTTTTTCTTGATACTCTAGTAAAACTTCATGGCCCTGTAACTCAAGCTTATTTTCTTATCAATATGGGTTTATTCACCCGATTAAAGGTAACAATTCATAAATGATTGAATTTTTTTAATTGTCTCCCTATGGATTTGCTCTTTTCAAATTTCTTACATTATAAAGACATTTAAAAATTGTTAATGTTATTTACTTTGAATTTAAGCTGATTTCAACAAGAATACTTCAGCTTTGCATATAGTATGATTTAAAACAAAAATTATTTCCTCTTTTTAGTCAGTCACATTTGAACCGGATCGGTTCTGATTGATAGTCAAGTCATATAGTTTGACCTGTAAAATATGTCGTTAGTTATTCCGAAAACCCTGATTCAACTCTAGTTTCAATGTATACTCTTGTTCGCTTGTTATTATTCCCCTTATATAGCTGCATATTTTTGCAAGTGATGTTCTCCGTGGATCGATATAATTTAAGGTGCTGTTGAAATATGAGGAACAATAAATAACTGCTTTGTCCTAGTATTTTTTTAAAATACCCGACAGTGTTCGCTCGGGACATTTAAAACATGATACCTGTAGATTAATACCGACATGGAACCCAATGGTTCATAGTTCCAATTTCAATAAATTCGTAACATCGTGTAACTATTATTCAGTGTTGTTGATAACGACTTGGTTTTCAATGTTACCTCAAATGATTTAAATCTGTGACAACTATCAACTGCAAATTAATCTTCACAATTCTCTTACCTAAAATATAAGTTTTTATCATATTAGGTCTTAAGTACTTATCTTAGTACTTTTTTGAGTAATGTACTGAGCATAGTCCGATCTGTACTGGTTATGAAGACTAATAAAGGTAGCACGAATGAAAGTTATTTACCTATGAATTTAACTACAGTTTAAACCTCCCAACTCATGACGATCATGTTGAAAACAACTAATACCCTTGTTCCATTGTACACGTAGATTCAGCGAATATTAAATGTTTTTGGAGTTACAATACAGGTAGAGATGTTCACCAGTAGTATAGAATTTGTTGTAATTGATCCAAAGCAGTGATAATAGATAGTACGATCAGCCTTCACGTAGATAACAGATGTACAGTTCTAGTATATGTAGATATGCATTAATGATAAATTGCTTCATCAGATAAGATGAAAATTTATTTAAATCAATATCTCTCTACTGTGTTTTCAGCTTTTAACAATGATAAACTTATCACTTCACATATATTGGTTGTTCAAGTGTTTCCATTGTTGTTTAGGACTCTAGTTGATCAGTCTATTCTTGGATATGTGCATTCTGTGCGAATTGCCTCGATATTGTCATTAAGTCACGAGCACTATTAAGCAGAGATGGATTATGGTTAGCATTGGAATTCAGGATACACGTTTCGTCTTATTTGAGACCCTTCATCTGGATGTGCCAAAATCCCAAATCGATGTTCACTCCATAACTCGATCTCAATACCATTCGCTTCAAACTCTATCTCTGTTTATAATAAAATTATTATCTTAAAATAAAAGGTTTGTGAAAATCGTTTAGCTTAAAGTTGGTTTTCGTCATGAACACTGAAGTCAACATTATGTGCTAATTTTGTGTTGGTTTAAGACCCTTCGGTGATGTTGACTTTATAGCCGTACACATATGATCGCACTCATCGCTTTCACTGCTCACAGTTAGTAAGATATTGACAAATTGGTTACATGAACTCTAGCTAATGACTTCTTAGCTGGTCCATTGATATCCGGAATTGTCCTACAATTGACCCCTGGATGCTAGAGAAAAGGTTCCAAGTAATGACAGAAGCTGTATTTTAAGATAAGCTAATGTACAGAGAAAAGTGCTATTTGTGGGTTTATTGGAGCCTTTTGACTTCTGGAAACTTATGGAAGGATCCTAAACTTTGCGACAAGATGAGTAATCATCTAATCAGTGTCAGTTTTCTAGGAGTTTCTAGGGTGTTTCCGCTAAATGCTGATTACACAACATTTCTTTAACCTTTTCCTGACCTCCGAAAAAATTATTGGGGAGTTCTCAGGAGATCTTAATAGAAATGTATTCGAAATCTAATGATTCTTATTCTCAGTAAAGCTACAAATTGTCTCATTACGTATTCAATGTATTTACTTGTTTGTTTGTTTTCACTTACTTCATTTACTCTCTACAGGTTTTATTGTCTAAATGTGAATCAGAACAACAAAAAGATGAATTGTTTTCAGCGTGTGAAATCCTCGTCACCAATGAACAAATGGGTAGTCGATTCAAATTTGTTGCAATCACCCCTGAACCAGAATCAGATTCCGTTGGTTGTGAGCAACAACTACCTGGTTTTACTCCATTATCTGGTACACCATATGCACAGCCGAATTCTGTATAAATAATGTGTTTTTTTTTGTATAACTTCCCTTGTTTATTTATCAGCTAAATTACTAAACTCAGTCTCTTAGCTTTGTACATATAAAACTCAAATACATATTTATTATTGTATATATGTATGATCATATGATGAGTTTTTTTTCTTCTGAAATTGATATCTTCAATAAGTTTAATGGTATGTTAGTTGCATAATGAATATTGATTGTTTTGAACACAAGTCAATATTCCATCCCGAAGCTATCTGTTACTTGAGATCTAGTGATTTCATGATAACTTCACTGTATCTCGTAAAAATCAGTACATAAATATGTTCTAATTGAAATATAAGTAGATCTTTTAAACATGTTTATTCGTATAATTGCCTAATAAGCGTTGCCACATCGTCTATCAATTATATACCTAGTAGTAATAATAATGTAAATAATGTAGTTTATTTTTGAACAACATAATCATATCTCAAAAAATGGTACTGACATTGATACACTAATTTAAATAATTAGATGGTTACGATTTGGAAATCTTCACAAAATTTACCTTGACCTAAATGTGTAAATAAGTATTACACTTAATAAACTTAAATGATCGTGAACTATTTACAAATTTAGTCTATAACGATCAGAATCAGAAGGGGTTTTGTGGAGATTGTAGTAATTTCAATAACTGAGATCATGAGTCAATTGAAACTAGACCACCATGGAAGCACTGGACGGCCGTTTCGTCCTATTGTGGGACTCCTCAGCAGTGCGTACCGCTTATTAATGACTGGCTTCAAGAGGTATTTCTTGGAGTTCTAGTGAGAAGCAGCGACCAGTGGAGTTCAACCAGGTCTGTGGTGAGATAGTAACTCAGTGATGACAATGGTGGGTGTGTCACTCAATTTCGTGGATTAGTTGAAGTTAGACACTAACACCATTAGATGCCGGCTCAGTGGTCTAGTTGGTTAAGCGCCTGGAGCGAGACTGATATGTCCTGGGTTCGAACCCCATGGGGCAGGGTCGTGGATGCGCACTGCTGAGGAGTCCCACAATAGGACGGAACGGCCGTACAGTGCTCCCAGGTTTTCCATGGTGGTCTAGCTTCAATTGACTCATGATCTCAATTATTGAAATTGAAATAACCATCAGTTAGAAAGCGAACTATCCGATTCTATTGGATAAAAATAAATTTAAATGTAAAATTTGATTGATATATGTTATCAAATATGATTAGTAGCTTATTGAAAATGAAAAGGACACTTACCTATGACCATATATAACGATTAAAAATTATCTAAAACTAGGGTATTACTAATCATTGGATTCTGACTCAATGACTGACTGAATCCTTTTGCATCATGAAACCTAAATGTCATTAGCGTAATAACGTACGAATTGGTGAGAAGTTTTAAACTAGGACTTAACATCTGCACAGTGTTCTCTTATTTTCAATGATTGTTTAGCAGATATCAGTCGATAGAAAAAATACTATATTTTTATCCCTTTCAGGGTTAGAAGTGAAATCATTCCTATATTTCTATCATCTATTTAATCACAACATGTTCAAGAGAATAAATTGAAATATTTTCACCTTCCTAAACTGTGTCCACTACGCTTTTTAGAGAATCTGTAAGTTAAATAGGTATGTTGTGATTATGAAACTGTCTTTCCTACAGTTCTTGAAAATTGTAAACAAAGAAAGTATGACATCTCTTCTTCCTTATTGCTCATTTATTCATTATCGTAACATTTAGCCAGTTCACCAAAACGTCTTCAGATAATAATGATAATAACAATAATAAATGTTCAGTAAGGTGAGATGAAGTTAAATTATGCAGTAAGAAATTAGACTGGTGCTTTCCTTAACAGAATTGTAGAATTATTTGAAATTAGTTCAGTGAAATTTTCAGGCATTTAAATAAGTTCATAAATAGTTAAACTACAGTAGAGTTCACTAGTTGAAACAAAAATTTATATGTCGATACATTCAAAACATTGTAACTTAGAGCTGAGTACGCAAACCTGTATTGGTAAGCAACTTACATTGATTTTTCAGGGGATCACGAAAACAAATCTCTAGTGTTTATTTGATTACAAGTAGATCAAAAAACTATATTTCTAATTTAATTGCTGTCAAACGCTTATGTTGCATAACCCGACGGAACAACTCGGTTAATTTTAATCTAGGGACCAGAAAATGAATGATAACATACTTTACATTTGAATTAGGATTAGTAAAGTAACTCCTACTTTTTTCGCTTTCTCAGTTATTGGGGGCTATTTGTACAGTTATCGAAAAATACAATCCAGAATGTTATTTTACGCTAATGCATTCACTGTTGCGTTGTTTCAAATTTCAACTAATCCATGATAATATATAGGTAAAGTAACCTCTCAACAGCATGGATCAACGTTGATTGGTAAAATTTTTTATGCAGCTTCTGCTAACTAATAGAGTAATATTGTTCAACTCGACGCTGACAATTCCTTTAAACCTTCAAAACACGACTCGGTTTCGTTCATCATACAGTATGCTATAATTTTGTTATGTGTGATTCGGCAGATTTTTTTTCCCTAGATAAACCACATGCTATGTCGTGCATGTACTTCAGTAAAATGCAAATATTAGCGAGTGATTGGTTTAACATTTTCGTATAAATATTACTGTATATTAGAGAAAAGCCTGATGAAAATCCTCAGTATTCCACAATGGTCATAAATCTATCATCTAACGAACAAAGAGAGACTATTCATATATACAAATTAAGAATTATACTGAATACAAAATAATTTCTAATCAATGATACGAACTACCACATTCATATCATAGTAGTCATTTGTATTTCAGAAAATTATCAATGAAATCTGTCAATAACAATTACTACCAAATTCATGACTATGTTATTACTGACTAATCTTCATTTTGTTAATTATGTAATTTCCAGAGACAATGTTTATCTAAATGATTGAATCTTTTTAAAGATTTTTTTTATTGTTAGCTACATACACATTAATTTATTCAATAAGTTTTCATTCATAAGATGATAAATGGTGTAACCTGTAATGTATGTATCCCCATATGTGTATACAGGTATGGTCACATAAGATATGGGTCAGTTAATAGTTGAATTGAATACTTTGTGTCTAATTCCATTCTTAATTTTTTTCTTTGACATATCAATAAGTATCAGATTTCTATTATTATTATTATTATTATTATTATTATTATTATTATTATTATTATTATTATTATTCCCTTAATCGTTTTTATTAGAACTGAACAATGTACACAGTTCCACATTTTGTTCGTTTTAAATTTCTGTCCTCAATTTATTTTTGCTTTTTGAATAAATACTCTTCATTGAAATAAATATGAATGAATAAAGTTTATCAGTTTATGATTAATTGGAACTATTAAACTTGAATGAATTCATTATGTCTTGCTGGAGATTGTTTTTTTTTAATATTAATTTCATGCAAAAAAAATTAAAGAAATCCATACACTATGCTAGATGAAGATGTAAATCTTGTTCTGTTTTCAACATTCTGTTTCAATTAAACGTATTTAATAATTGAATTCATGAGTCAATTGATGCTAGACCATCAAGACTGTTAGGTCCTGAGTTTGAATCTCACGGGGCGGGATCGTGGATGAGCACTACTGAAGAGTCCCATACTAAGATGAAACGGCCGTCCAGTGCTTCCAGGTTTTCCATGGCGGTCTAGCCTCAACTGACTCATGAATTCAATTATTAAATTACTATAATCTCCACAAAACCCCTCTCTGATTGTTAGAAACTCTTTGTTTTCATGTAAAATCATTATTTTTCATATTGTTTGTAATGAGTTGTATTCCGTTAGTTTGTAGGTCACTTTTGTCACGGATTAATATCTGCTGAAGAGTCATTGTATAATCAGAGAGCTATCTGAATAATTGTTTCGTCATGTTTACTAAGGAATTTCATCTACAATCCAAATTGTTCATATCATGAAGGAAACAGCCTATCACTAAGATAAAAATTAGTAGTTCATCTACTTTAACTTATCCTACAGTAAGTAAATCACAGTTTAAATAACTCATTGGTTAATGATATGACCGCGATACTGCTGCGTGATACAACTTCGAATCATATGTAGATTATCAGTTTCCTCAAGGTGTAGATACACTATGCTGATGAGTATCAACTAGCACCACAGCATAGACTTAGTAAGTATCATTACTGGTTGTTCATAATCACTTGATTATTAAGCAGTTATTAATGACCAGTCATTTCATTTCCGATTTAATCAACTCCATAGATCACAATTTATCATTAAAAATGCAAGAAATATATCTTAAAATTACTTACTAGTTATTAGAGTGTTATTAATCATTTATGTAAATGGTTTGGTGGAAGTTTATAAAATTTGAATATGGTTTCTATCACAAACTTATATCAGCTAGTCAATCGTTTCAAACATTCTGTAGATTACTAGTAAGGGCTTGTGATTCTTCCTTGTTAACATTGAGAACTGAAATCGATCAATGTCTCTTGGACCAAGTAGCTTAGTGGATAAAGCGTTAGATTCTAGAGTGATAAGCATTTAGTTTGAGTTACAGTGTAAACATTAACATTAAGATACATGTGTATCCAGTTGGATCCTAAGTAGAACGAGGCCTTTTTACTTAGTTTCACTGATAGCGAAAATCCAAATATGCCATAGATTATTGTCTTTGGTTAACAAGTGAAAATCTTACAAATGTGGATCAATGGCATTGCGATTAGAGTATTCAAAGTAAAACCGCTGACACACATGTTTTGAATTTCATTTCACGTACTTTGGTTTATACAGCCGGGTAATACCACTAGTCTTCACCCGAACATACATACAGATCAATTGTAGCTAAAAAATACAAGTGAGTAAATCTAAACTTTGTAATTGAGCAAAATTAGTCTTACGTATAATTAACATTTTTACTACTTTGTATCATTTCCTTATACTATACCAGGGATGCAGAGATCTGTTTGACGAACAACAGTGAAAAAGCATAACAGATCCTAGTTTCCACGGAAAGCTAAAAATCACAGTCAGTCGTTTTATGCCACTCTACTATATAAAAATTATATGTTAGTAGACACATAAGCAGTTTAAAGATAAAACAACTAGTTACTAATATTATAAGTAGTCTATTCCTCAGAAATAGTTAGGCTTTAAGCTTAAGGTTAATCAAATCCACATATGTACCCTCACAAGAATAGATATATCGTGTTCTAACGTGGAATTTTTCAGTCGTAAAATTCGTTTGAGTGTTCTACGATGACAAAGTTATATGCTATACATTAAGATAAATCTCATTTTCCACCTATGAATCTAGTAAAATCAAGTATTTCTGATTTCCTTCTGATATCTTAATCTAACCCAGGAAGATGTCCTCATTGTTATATTTACTGATAGATCCCATCATTTAGGTTCATTTCACACTCTCTAGTTTCCACTGTTCATATCTTATTGTCATCCATTTAATCAACCAATTATATTTTGATTACAGTTCATTTCTAACCCTATTCATCTGTAAAACAATCAAACTATTTAATCAGTCACTTATCTTAAATATTCATTGGTTGAAAATTAGAAATAGCGCAAATTTTCTTCCTCTTTTAATGTTTCACTATCCCATTTAAACAAGTTTGGATTGAATAAAAATGTAGTTCGAATACTGAATGGCAACAAAAAAACAAAGTTTTTTTTTCAACTGAATACATTCGTTTAGTATTTCTTTTATTTTATTCATGCTACGGAATACTACTGAAATAATTTTTTTTTCAACCCGAAAATGATCGTGACTGAGATTATAGTGGATTCCATATGTTATATTTAATTCATTAGACACAAAGAGTATGAATTACACTAATGATAACAATTTATTGGACACAAGTTATGCTGAGGTAATAAACGAATTCCCATTTACTATTAGTCAGGTAAGAATTGAAAAATAATATTAAGGAATAGCATACTTGTTGTTTCAATAAATTCATTTATTTAATAATTAGTTTATTTGATGAAGTACAAGGTTAGTGTTTAAAATAGTTGATTATCGACTTTTTTATTCACCCTTGGTTAAGCAACTAATTAAGGTAAGCTCAAGTGTCCTGTAATAGTATTGATCAGAAATATAGTGAAGCTAGTTCATCATAACATATATGTCTTCAGCAATGTACGCCCACAACCTCATTAAAGATCCACCTCAGGAAATGCATTTATTTTCACTGAGAGTGTGCTCCTTATAAATCACTGATGTGAAATCCAGTGGTGTATATTCCCAACTTCGTTCAAGGCACTTGATTGCATAACGAGCGTCAACTGTTATCATTCACAACTACTTCATTTTCAGTATGAATGAACCCCATTAGTCATACTCTTTCTAGAACTTTAAATATAGGTTCCTAAAGCCAATTATTGTTCATTATTAAAGTCAGTTCATGATGTAAACTACTGTTATTATTGAAAAATGTCAACGAATTCTTCATCAGTTGAATAGAACTATAATATAAACGATAAATACTGATGTTCTAACTGTAAAGCTCTGCATTCTAGATTTAAAGTATGCAAAGATGAAAAAATCTGAAATGATAACAAGATAAATTATTGAATGTTTCATAGGCTTCCAGTGGTTTCACTTCTTGTTCACTTGGTTTCATTTGTTAACTAAAAGTATTGTTGAATTCATGAGTCTATGTAATCCAGTCCACTATTGATAACCTTGATGCACTGAATGGCCGTTTCGTCCCAGTGTGAGACTCCTCAGCAGTGCATGTTCATGACCCCTCATGCGGGACTCAAACACAGGACCTTACATCTCGAGTGTGGGTGCACACTGCTGAGGAGTCCCATGCCAGGACAGAACGGCCTTCCAGTGTTTCCAAGTTTTTAATGGTTGTCTAGCTTAGATCGACTGACGAATTCAACCATCCCCACAAACAGCCATTCTGAATTAAAAGTATACTCAAATTAGCACGTCTTTCACGATTATAAAGTTATATGTAAGAATTATTAAATTAAATGTATAGAAATATAATCAATTGTAGTTACATCTTATTATTGATAATAATAATAATATTGTAGTAATGTGGACTGAAGGAAATATAGTGAATGAGTTTATTATAAATGATAATGAAGTGTGATGAATAATGCTAAGAAAATACCATTTAATGTACTTCATTTTATGGTAGTTATCCTTAATATATCTAGTGAACTCCTGAAGTTAATTTCCCGTAAATTCAACCAGTTAACTTTCAAAAACGATACAAAAGTATGAGAACACGAAAATGTAAATTGTGAACGGTAAGTTAATTAGGTAAAGGACTGAGATAAAGAACGATTAGATTCAATAGGTAAATTTGCTAATGCGTTTTCCTATAACCTTTAGTACATGTTTAAAACCAAAAAATGTAGCACAGAGCTAACTAGATTCTATACGTAAGAAAGCTGTGAATGCTGTTTTTACGCTCATTTAGTATCACGTCAACTAGAAGTTCAAAGTTGAAACATTTTATTCTGTCTTTTATCCTTTGTGTATCCATGAAGAGTGATATTAAGTAATTAGGTGAGTATGCTTGATGAAACTCTGAACATCAACAGGTTCCATCGAAGTAGCTGAACAGTCAGATGCCAAACAAATTGAAAATTCCCCAAATGAAGATCAATTTCTACATAAAACGCAAAACTAATTAAATCATCCGTAAGAAAAATTATCCTGTCAGTTGTATTAAAACTAAATGGTGTACTTAAACTTTATCAAGATGATTCTAAGCTCTAACTGAAAGTCTGGAGTCAACGATTCCTAACTGAACTTATAATTATAAGCATTATTTTATTAGATAACATTTATAAAAGTTGTGGTTTAAATTCATCATTCATGGCCACCCCTATATTAATGGACAGTTTTTCACATCTCACCACTTTGCACTCCTCAAACCAGCCGTCCAATAGTAACGAGAATTTTAAAAATGGTATAATCAGGAGTTATTGTTTAAAAATGCTTGTAAGAGTCAATAATTTGTGCTGTAACTATTATTTCAATAACAATGAGCTCTAGTAAACACGCTATCACTTGTTTACATTTAAATTCGAACGCGGTTACAGTCAAGGAGAATTTGTTTCTCAGCATGTTATTATCTTTGTACATATTTAGGCAAATAAATGTGTTCATCTAGATGATATTGAACATATATTTCAATAACACTTAAACCAAACGCTTTTTTTAATGTACACAATTGTACCCTTGAAATATATCGTTGGCGATAGAGAAGAAACTACAATCGTTTAACATCAGCCTATTCTATTTAACTCGTGTATAGTTATGTGACTAAATTGTATAAGTGATTTTGCACTACACGCTTACTAGAGCATAAATATATAAGCATTTGATTGATTATTGCATTTGTTTGATAAAGATCTCGTCAACTGATTCCATTCACAAATAGACCTTTTAAATCGACTTGATTATGATCATTTCTAAAGATGAATTGATGATGAACGAAAGCAAAGTATACGTAAATACGGTTCATTATCTCAAATGAGAACGATATACAGTCAGACAAGCGCATTTATAAAATTTCAATATGATTTCTTTAGAAAACGAGAGTGTTTTGATCACAATTTATGCTTTGCATGACAATTAATAACATTGACAATATCAGTATGAAAGATGTGAAGTATGCTGAAAAATAATAGGAATAGCTAATTTTCAACCACACCGATTAAAATTCCACAGTTTCCGAATTAAGTTAATATAAAGTAATAAGAAGTCACTGTTCTTATCAGCAGTGGTATTTAGATAAATCTGAATTAGAAAAATCCTTAATTGATTTACAAATCACACAATTCACTTAGATATTTTTCATAATTGGTTAGTTTTATTATTGTTTCAATAAGTAATCTGTTAAATATCACTCCAGAGGCCAAGAACGTATGTTGTCATTCAGTATCAGATAAATAAAAGCGATAAATGGATAAATAAATTTTAACAGTTGAATTCATGAGTCGATCTAAGCTAGACCACCATTGAAAACATGGAAGCACTGTAAGGCTCTTTCGTCCTAGTATAGGACGCCTCAGCAACAAGCATCCACGACCCCAATTAAACTCAGGACATTCAAGTCTGTTGGCAATAGCTTAACCTTTAGATCAATGAGCTGGCACTTAGTAGTTTACATGTTTAGTTTTTATCAATTTTTAATATTGTTCAATCAATTTATTGCTGTGTAATTCCCTCATACTCTACAGAGTTGAAATACAGTAGTTCGGGCTTCATATTTCCACGAAAATCTCCCGGGTATCAACAAAATGGCTCTGAAACTTTAAATTCCCCTATCTACTGTTTTTTGGTAATTTAATTTTCAATCGATTTGTTTGCAACCAAAAATATAAAAAAAACAAATAATGAATTAAACCCTTTAAAAAAGACTTAATACCGTGTGCTTTTATTTTAATGGATTCACACCAACGCCCCATTATTATTATTATTATTATTATTATTGCTCTCTTACTAACAGAATATAGTGAACTTGTGGTTGTTATATATATATATATATATATATATATATATATATATATATATATATATATATATATATATATATAAACTAACCAACTATTCTATTAATTAGTAATCAAAATGGAACGTTATGTAATCAACTCCAAGTCATTTAAAAAAACATGTCTATAATGTTAATAACCAAGGTGATTGATGAAATAAAATAAAATCTGACCAGATAGTGGAGTTTTCTAACTAATTGACTTTAACAGTCAACTTTGATTGTATCTTTGTTGTTTAATGTAAATCAGTCTAAACAATTTTTATTAGACTGATATACACAATCTACAAATGATTAATTTCTGTTTCGACATCATTGCAAAGACAAGAAAGTATTGGATAGTTATTGCGTCATAGTGTGAAATGACTCAACAGTGACCATCCAATGATTAAACTCATCAACTTCAGACCTAATGGTGAGCAGTTAACCATAAAACTGCTATGTTGGTATCTAATGGAACATATTTCCAAATTAAGTCAATTCAAAATACAGCATAAATATCATTGATGAGAACTATTGTACACTCAACATAGTTGACCTCCAGTAGTCATGATTTCACACCATTATAAGCAAAGATAGATAGTGGATAGCAGTGGAATCCAGGACACGCGTTTTGTCCTATTTGGGACTCGTCAGATGGATGTACCTGAAGCTCAGAGTTGATGTTCAATTTGAAACTCGAACCCAAGAACTGATCAATTCCAACCCTAAACATCAATGAGAAGATTCAAGTAAGCAATATCAAGTAAATTTACACTTTACCCCATTGCACAAGTAAATGGCTATCAGGACTTAGTAGCCAAGTGGATAACATGTAGGCGTTTGAAGTGAACGGTATCAAACGCGCGTCAAACTGGATTCCACTATCCATCTTTGCTCATAAAGTATAAAAGTGTATTATTTTCAGAATACAATTAATTTATTGTATATCAGTGTTTTCTTTTCTATCACAGATTTTGAATACAACGACAATTTTACCTAATGAAAAATTTACTATCCACTACTAGCCAATTTACTTTCTAATTTCTAAATATCTTAACATTTTGAATTGATCTAAAAGTAATAATTTGTACTGAAACTGATAAACAAACACTCATCTTTGATTCTAAAAGTATTGTCATTTTTAACTGATTTTTGAATAAATAGAATTGTCAATATAGGATTGTGGAGATTGTTAAGTTTCATTGAAATCATGAACTGATCTAAGTTAGCCAAACCATTGACAACTTAAAAACACTGGACGGTGATTCTATTTCAGTATGGGAATTTTTAGAAGTGTGCATACACAACTCCACAACCAGGAAATGAACACAGGATCCTCGAGCCCGCACATGGACGTCCAAACTGTAAATCACTGAGCTCGGACCCGCTTGTGTACAAGTCTTCAATCAGTTCAGAATATTGCGCAAATATTTGCCATTGTTTTGAGTAGATACTTTCCTGGCGTCTGACAAGGCCGAACTCTACTAGCTGAGGCTTAGAGAAATGAAAGATGGGTTGATTTAATTTGTACTTGTATATCATTGGATCCTGGTTGTGGTCTGCAAATAGAATTGCTGACACTCTTTTCAAAATAATAATGATAATTGTTATATTCAATAAAACTTTAAAATAACTCTTCTTAATAAAAGAAAACCATATACTTCCATCTCAATATTAACAACTTAAAGTATTATTAGCTTTCATTGAAAATCCTTCGCCTCTGTTCACTGAAATAATTGTAGGCAATATGAAATGGAATATTTTAACCAATTCCTACACCTTGAAATCATATAATATGATAAAATGGATTTTTTTTCCGCTAACAGACAATTTATTTTCACACTCTATCGTTTTCTGGAATCATTACCATAGTTTAACTATAAGCTTAGGATGTGTATAAAGTCATCCCTCAGTTAATGTAAAGAGTTTCTATGCCAACAGTCATCTTATATATACTCAGTACATCGAATACTTATTTTTTTATTTTTTCCATACATGATGATGATTAGTGTCAAATAATAAACATCTTATAGTGGAAATACTGAATAAGTTGTTCCACATTCGAATAAATTACATTAATCTTGTATTTATTATTGCCAAAATCGTAATAGACTAAACGAAGCTTATCATTACAGTACTGATAATTTAATAACTTATATTTATGTTTTACCAGCATAGAGGTTTGTGGAGATCATTGAATGACACTGATATCACGAACCGACGTTAGTTAGACATCTAATGAAAAACATAAAGTACATGATAGCTGTTTCATTCTAGTAGTGTTCATTGTAATATCGAAGCTCTTGAGTTTAATCCCCAGCAGGGTCGTGGATGCACACTGATTAAGAGTCACATACTTGGATGAAACAGTTTCCAAGCAATTCTCAGTTTGAATTAGACCGGTCTATGACAAAAGTAACAATTATCTGCTTATTGACAGATAAAATATATAGATTTTTTAGGTAATATTTAATTTTATGGAAGATAAGCGGGGTTGTTTCATAAATAAAAAAAACTCATAAAAAACGATACGACAAGTAGAAGTATCAATAGTCCCGTAAGGATGATAATTAACAAATAAAATTCTATGAAATGGATATACGAATTACGAAATATAACAAATCTGTACAGCAAAATTTTTCATCTTCTTAGGGAATTGGATTTATTGTCATCAAATTTCTTGACGTGAATTTCACTGAATAAAATCCAATTTGGAGGGGTAGTTCCAAGACTTCTAATGAGAAGCTGTAACCAGTGAAGTTCAGCCGTGTTGAGTATGAGACAATTATCATGCGATATCTTGAATGGGCCGAAGTTAGGTATATAAACCAACGGATGCCAACTCAGTGGTCTCAAAGTTAAGCACTAGTTGTAAGATCTCGTGGTCCTAGCATCAATCCCTGACGGGACCACAGATATACATTTCTGAAGAGCCATGTACTAGGATGAAACAGTTGTTCAGTACTTCCTGGTTTTTAAAGTTTGTCTAATTCAAGTCAGTTAGTGATGTGGAACTAAAATATGACTAATAATCGGTCTGCTGTTTAGTATCACTGATCCGTAATTTGTTTGTTATTTTTGTTATTTTTCATGAAATTGTGAGTAATATTAACATCTTATGAGTAGAAATTAATAGTTATCAGTGAATTGTTATGGAAATCGGGTATCCACAACGGAAAATATGCGTTCGGTACTGACATCTAAGAAAAAAGATGAATGATAATGATTAATGATATTTGAATATATGATGGAAGAAATCTTGATCCTACAATTCGTATCCAGAACTAATTAAATGTTAAAATTGATTGCATCAAAAACCAAAGTCATTCAAAACTAGTGAGGCACTAGACACCTATCTCATTCTTGTTAATAATCCTTCAATAAAGAGCACTCATGATTATGGGATTTCATGATGGCTACTGAATTGAAACCCATTAGTCAAGATTTCATAATTCGGTCAATTCATGTAATTATGTGACTAACATTCGACTACATCAGTTACCATGCTAACCTTACTTGCAAACACAAATGAACTTCCATAAACATTAATTATATCTTCAAATTTTTCATTCTCATTTCAATAATAAAATTCATAACAGAGATTTAACATTATCAAAAAAATGGATTAGTTTTTAATGAATATAAAGTTGAAATTGTCATATTATATCTTATTTATTCTCAAATTTTAGGTAGGATGTATATGTGAAGTATTAATTCAATCAAATCAAATCATAACTCTACGTCATCTATTAAATAGAATACCAAAAATATGGTTATTACCTGAAGAACATTTCACATTTCATTATTATCAACAATTGAATAAACAATCTAATATTTTAACAATTGATAAACTATTTGAATCTCGTGAAATCATTATTAAAGCATTAGCTATTGTATCATATGAAGAACAAAATTATAAATTAGTTTATCAATTATTACAATGTAATCATTTTAATGAAAGGCATCAAACAATACTACAACAATTATGGTATAAAACACATTATGCAGAAGTACAAAAATCACGTGATCGACCATTAACTGCTGTTGATAAATATCGTATACGTAAAAAATATCCTTTACCTAAAACAATATGGGATGGTGTACAAACAGTATATTGTTTCAAACAAAATGTACGACATATATTAATTGATTATTACCAACAAAATAAATATCCAAATTCTGAAGAAAAATATGAAATTTCTGTAAAGACTGGATTAACTTTTACTCAGGTAATATTACAATCTTCCTTTTTTGTATGTATGTGTGTATGTATTTCAGTTTAAGGTAAATTCTCTTATTTTTTAAAAAACAAAATATTAAAAAACCACTTAGTAACTAATATAGATTATTGATACCATAATCCTACTAAAAATAATAGAAATATATTTGTGGATTGTTTCGTAGGTTTCAATGATTTTCCAAATGTTGTCATTTCATGATAATGTACGATCGCAAAACCATTCCAATCTCTGTAATATAGTGATACAGCATTGGATTCGGTTTAACTCAATATGCTTCTTTACTCTTAGTCTCTTTATTCAGTAGCCGATCGAGGCTTGCCTATAGGAAATTTGTCTATCATTATCAGGCTTTTACACTGTTGTGACATCCAGTGTCCGAGATCTGACACTGACACACAACTTACTATAGGCTAATCCTACCACCAACTGACTATTTGAGCGAGAGAGTATTTTGGGCTACCGAATGAAATCATGTATATATATATATATATATATATATATATATATATATATATATATATAACTCTACTCATTAGGAAATTAATCTATGTATTAGCCAATGAGATGCACCTGTCCTTCAGAATACCGTCGAGTGACCTCCCTGGGCTATTTATGTTTGGTTTACCGTATCGGACATCGCTTGTCAGAAGCTACAATTCTCTTTACTACTTTAAAGGCAATAAAAACAAAGCAGAATAATAGGAATTCATTTTATTTCTTATGTTTCTACCAGCTGGCAACAGCTCATAACAATTAGAAATTTTAGGTACTAAATGGATTGAATATACTTACATAGATGAATTTGGTTGGCAGGTTAAACATTACACTAACCAGAACCTACTGTGCAGCTACACTGTTAACCTTGTATAAACCAGTATGTTCAATAACTTTTCACAAGTCAACAAATACCCTCTTCATGTTACCCCAAATTATGTCTATATATTTATATGTACCTGTTAAAGTAACTAAATTGGTTAAACAAAAAGGAAGACTTTGATGAACTTGTTTGGTTATGTGCCGAAAAGCTTTGATCAAGAAGAAGAAGTACTTAGAATAGTGTAATCACGAAGTGGTTTTATCATATTTGTTGGTTGAAGCGATTAATTTACTGACATTATAAATTATATACGTACTTTCGTTAAATTTCATTTACTGTGTTATGTTTTGCCGCTGTCAATTATTACTTGACAAGATCGCCAATCAGAACACCAAATTATATGATCTTGTTCTTGTGCTAAAGCAATGATACCTCATCAAATACTAGCAGTCTTGCATCAACTCTGAATCGCTATTGATCCTCTGTGTAGAAGCTTCTCTCTTAACTCACTTCGCTGAGTCCAGAACACAACCTGAGCCTCCACTGTATGAATAATACGTTTCAGACATACGTGATTTACATACAACCAAACCAGACGGCATCACACCATAAGATGAATAGTAATAATCATACAAAATTAAGCCCAAAAGTGTCTGTGAATGTAGGAGACTGCAACTAACATAATGGAAATAACTTAATAATGATAAATCAAATAATGATAACCAATAGGTCAATTGAAAGCTTATGATAAACGGAACATGAATATACATATAATCTAGTTACTTAATAGTTATCCAATAAGAGTAGATGTAGTAATAGTCCATAAATAATCCCTAGTAGTGACCACTCATTTATTCTTCGTTCGGACGTAAAATACTGTCAGTTCAGTGTAATCCAATTGGCTGAATTGCTAGAAAATTAAATAACATATCTCTCATTGTTCTTTTTAACTAATAGGTTTGTTTTCAGTGCATAATAAACTCTTCATCTGTAGTCTTACGTTTCTTTCTTGCTTCAAGTAATATCAGTCTTAGTTCCGTTATATCATGGTAAGTTATACAGTTATACCTACAGTTATGACAATTAACCGTGATAGTATTATGACAAGTCATTGCCAAAAATAAATGAACATGTTTTTACCTAAAGCTATTTTCAATAAAATAAAGTCAGGTGAGAATAATGGTTCAGTTGTCCAAAACAGTCTATTATGAACATATTCAATGTAATGCAGCTCGATCACTAGAATTCACTCACTAAGTAAACGGAGAAATTACTGAAAATGCCGGACAAGACAAAGTCAATGAACCTTAGCCAGATTTTAGAAATTATTATTATTACTGTTATTATTATTATAAGCTTTATTCAACATTATATATTTGGTACAATATGCAATTCTCAGCATAAAGTATTTCAACAAGTTTCCTTTTCTTATATCTTGATCGATTCTGATGATAAATATTGAGTGATGGCCAGTTGGATGTTAGGAATTCGGTAATCGACATCTGAACAATGTTCATTCGTTTCAATGCATATTGCAAGCCACCATGATGTCGCTGGTTGTACCTTTTTGTAACCCGTGCAGCGAAAGGTTATACACTTTTTTATAAACCCGCCTGAATAGGTTGTGAGCTCAATAGACATAATGATGTGTTAAAACAAACAAGAAATCAGATAACTTGACGAAATATCTAGATGGGAGTAACAGGTAGCCCAGATGTTCAAGGAGGCCGCCGATATCACTACATGTATTACTGAAAAATGTAAACAAGTTTTTTAAAACTGTTTTTGCACATGAATTATTATTAGAAACTACATTTATCAACACCTAGAAATGACAAATATGTTCCTCATGATGCAATTATATTAAATAACAGTTATAACTATAATCTACTATACTGCCTCAAATACATTTATAACATATGGATGGAAAATTACCATGCAATCGTCTACTTGCAATAAATCAGAATGGCTATGAAGGTGTCATGCAACTTGAACTAGGGAAATACTGAAATATATCAAAGAGAACTTATGGATACAATAGTTTAAAACTATTCTATAATACGATTGAGAAATTACTTAACAAAGAATACTGGTCAATTCATACAGCATTAAAGGAATCAGTTAACTTTACATAGTGAAAATTAAGTTAAAAAATAATTTCGTACACATAGTTCCCTTTATTATCTTAAAGAGAACAAAACCAAAGATTGGTGCAGAATAATATGAATTCATTTCATTTCATTAAGTTCTCATCAGCTGCTCTGAGTTATTACAGATATGGAAATAATTATAAATGTGGAGATGATTGGAGATGAATATATATATCACGACATAGCGAAGATTCCAATAGAGTTAATAAGGTCATAAAAGATTTTGTTTCGAATAAATAAAGTTTAGGAGGGAAGGCTCCAGGACATTGAAATAGTAATTAGAACCCATGGAGTTAACAAACCTTAGATGATTGTGTAATAAAGTGACTAAAAACAGATTAATGATAATAAAGTAAGATATGAGTTGAAATCAGTCAATTATGAATTTAAGAAGAATGACAATCCATATAATCAAAACTTCAGAAAGAGTTTAAATTATGAATGACGTAATAAATAAAAAAGGGTATAATATTACCAGGGCAAAGAAATATGTATTACTGCTTCTCTTTGAACACATAGATGTGGTTCCAGACAATTGATTGATATAACTTCGGCAAATTTTAGAACCTTCGCTACATCATGATACACATATTTATCCCTAATCACCTTGGTATTTATAAATATTTCCATATCCGTAATAACTCTGAGCAACTGATGAGGACCTAACGAAATGAAATGAATCCATATTATTGTTTTGTTCTCTTTAAGACAAAAATAATTTGTTTTCTAATTAGTCTTTACAAATATATTTTTTGCTAAATAATTGATTTTCCTTTTAGGTAAGTAACTGGTTTAAAAATCATAGACAACGTGATAAATCCTTAGAATCAACTGATTTATACTTTCAACATGAAAATAAAACTCTTCTTAATAATAACTATAATTGTAATTGGTCCTGGCAGTCAATTAAATCCAACACTAATATTAATAATTCAATTAAACAACATGAACAAAGTATAAAAAATGAATTATCAATTGAAACATATCGAAAATGTTACAATTATCAATCATCTTTTCAACCATTTACTAATCAACAAAAGTTATCTGATAACAATGGTATAGATAAGAATTTAAGTTCCTCTTTAGAAAACCTGAAAGATTCAGAACATCATAGAACAACAATTTCATATCCAATATTTTCACATCAATATGTATCATCTAAAAATTCAAATGAAATATGGTTTACACAATGGGCAACTGATCATTTCAATGTTGAACAAGATAAACATAACCATGAAATGAAGTATTATACTACCAGTTTTAATCATAATCAGAATAATTCATATTATGAAGGGAATAACGATTAGAAGTAATTAAACGAAATAAATGATGAATTGCATACAGTCAATCAAATTATTTCAGAGCAAAACAAAATCATCCTTAAATTAGTCTAATGTACATTAAAATTATCTGACTAATAATTTCGAATAAAAATATAAATAAATAAATAAATAAATAAATAAATAAATAAATAAATAAATAAATAAATAACTGTTTTTGATGAATAAATTTTTATAGTTGAGTTCATGAGTCAATTGAATGTAGACCACCACGGAAAACATGGAAGCACTAAACGACCGGTCCGTTCTAGTATGGGACGCCTCGGCAATGCGCATCCACGATCTCGCCCTATCATACTTATCGGTCTCGCACGCGAACGCTTAACCTCTAGACCATTGAGCCAGTATCCAACGGTGTTAATGTCTAACTTCAACTAATCCACAAAATGGAGCCACGGTCTACCACTGTCTTCAGTGTGTTACTATCTTACAACAGACCTGGTTGAACCCCACTGATCACTGCTTCCTCGATTCGAATCCCGCGGGGCGGGATCGTGTGTGCGCACTGATGAGGAGTCCCACAATGGGATGAAATGGCCATCCAGTGCTTCCAAGTTTTTCATGGTGGTCTAGCTTCAATTGACTCATAAACTCAACTATTAATTTACTATAATATCCACAAAACCCCTTTCTGAAAATAAATTTCACCTAACCATGTTGTGATTATCGTAATCAGTGGTTGGAAGCTTCATCTATCATTTAGGATATTTTATTCAAGTTTCATAGATATAACGATGATCTAAACACAAAACAACGATAAAAATTGTTGCAGTTTGTGATAAATTCATTGTATTTCGTTGCTGTTTCTTTAGCTATATAGCATCTAGTATATGGAGTTATTTCTAACTGATAACATAATAGTACCTAGACTTTCAAAGCTTTCAATACATTTGGCTTTAAATATGAGCTGGTGAAAACGCTGCAACAGAGCCAGAAAGTTATTTTTACGAGTGAAGTTTGAGGAAGAGTATGTTGTAGTCAATAAATGAGAGAGAATGGATAGCCTAAATCAATTATAAATAAATATAGCACTGAATGACGAATTAAGACGGTAGAATATAAATCTGAAAAGGAGAATATTTTCATTCGATCGCTATTCAAGTTTAATCAAATAATGGCTAAAATTAATCAAAGACGAAAAGTAGCTTTAAGAAGCATGTTCCTCGCTGCCGAGTTGATACCACTCTATTTAACACTATGCTCAATAACACAGACAAAATAAGACAAATATACATCACATTTTACCTCCAAATGCAACTATCAATTTACATGTACATGCGAAATGTCTACGTTGGAATAACAAAATAATGGACTTCTACTTGTTTCAACGGTCAGATCCTAAAAAACCTACGCTTGAGAGGAGAAAATTGCTTACAAAGCTCAATAGCACGTCATTTGTTAGATACAAGATCTAACGTGGATATATAAATTCACTCAAAGTTATCAACAAACTGACCAATTTCATGTAATTAAAATTCACAGAAGTCATAACGTTTCGAAAGCTTAAACCTGATCTTCGTATTCAAAAAGATCACTTAATTAAACTTCAACTACCTTAGTAACGTTTTGAATTCTCTTTTCTTTAATGAATTATAATTACAGTTTACCGAGTTAAACTCATTTGTTCTCTTTTCTTTCTTAAACTTCCAAAAAATCTTCATATTACGTAATAAAATTATTTTGACATTTTAGAGCCACTAGCTTGGGTTGCTATAAAAAAATATCCTCTTTTTAGTTCCTTAATTCATAACCTCTTTCATATTACACACAAATTATCATTAGTCAGTAATTCAATTTTACCATTATGTCATCAACTGGAAATAATTAAACATATTATCTTGTATTTAGTTGAAGAGAAAGTAAAGAAACATAATACATTTATTGTATTCTGCTAATATTATCATTCTTAATTTGTTTACATTTATGACGTAAAACAATTATATGGACAAGAATGGCTATTTAATAACAAAAAGTCAGGAAAATTTAAAGAGAATATCAGAATGATTTAAGTTTAACTGAATAAAATATTGGTGTTAAAAGATTTTTACAATTAAGTTTATTATTAGAAGGGGTTTTGTGGAGATTTTTAGAAATTTCAGTAGTTGAAATCATGAGTCAATTGAAGATAGACTACCATGGAAAACCTGAAAGCATTGGATGGCCGTTTCGTCCCAGTATGGGACTCCTCAGTAGTTTATAGTTGCAAACATTTTACAGTCATAATGGAGGTTGAAATGTCATTTATTTCAAATAAAAATCATAAATATTATGTGAATACCTTGAATATTCATTCTACAAAGTGTATGATTATGTTTATTTTCCATGCTAAGAACTTCTAACTTTACAAAACTATAAGCTTTCTAGAAATCTGTACATAGCCTTTAAAAAGCCTTGATCTGTTCTTTGTTATTTATTAGTTTATATAATTAAACAATGATTGGTTATACCTTATTAACGACATTTCATTAAATGATGGTATTTCCTCATCACTAGAAGTTAACGGAAAACTGTTACTATAATTGGATTTTTAAGATTCCAAGAAAATAACCCTGATGTTTGAAGTTGAAATAACATGTGATTTATTCGTAAATATTAACTAGTAGCCTATGAACTTTCCTCCACTCGCTTGACTGTCTGAGATTGAAATGCTAATTTGACTTATATTATACTTAAACAACTGAGAAGTTCATTAAAGTGTAAATGAACAATGCTTAACTTTAAATCTCTGAGTCTTCTGGCCAAACTAAACAGATGAAACGATTGAATTGTTGATAATTAAAATATTTCTTTTCACCTTATTCGACACTAAGTAATTGATACAAATGTTATGGATGGTTTTAAAAAAAAATCGAGTACACATTAAAATAGTCCTGAGATGCTCCAATACTACCTAATTGAGATATCAGTACAATTAACAGTATAATCCCATCCACGCTGCAAAAAGTTCCCCATTTCTTTTTAATGTGTGTTGAAAATAAACATAACGTCAGTGCATACTTAAAGATAATCGGCTTTTGAAAACTTCCATGTACACAGATACCTACTCATAAGTAGCCAACCGACATTCAACTAAATTTATGGAACCAATTGTAAAAGATATTTAATAACGTGTGAAGTTTTATTAATTCAGACCTAATAAATTATTCCTTAAAAACGTATAGTTAATATCTAATTTGATTAATTATAATTATCACATGAAAGTGTTGGTTAACTTATTCACAACTCCACAGTTACGCTAAAAGGAACAACAAAATAGTTTGTTACATCATTTATATATTTATGAAAGTTTCTAAACGGTACATGATACAAAATAGTGAATTTTTAAAATATCTACTCTTTATGGATAATTCTAGGGATGCATTCAGTTTCATTTGTCATTAATTAGACCATGAATTATGTCATAGAAGTAATCATTCCAATTCTACTAGTAAAATAATATTATAATCTATTATCATACAATGATTAAGTGCAAACTTAACTTACCCAATTCTGTTAATAAATTTTGAAAGAATTCATTACTATAGTTAGTTTATTACTGAATAGTGATCGATGTCGTATTTTTCACTTTTTTAATAGGAAGTGGTCATTGATTTAAGTGATTTAACATCGTATGAACCATGTTGAGATGTTTGCTGGTTGAATGTATCAAACAGGAAATCGTGATTGGCCCAAGTTTTGTGCTAGTTGGCATTCGTTATCGAGCATACTTGAGATCTTGAAGGATCTGATACTTCCTATGGAAATTTAGTCGGCGTGAATCAGTTTCTCAGTCTCAAATATAATTGCTGAACTCTAAGAATGGCCGACTAATATAATTAGCACTATCTAACCTATTTATCAAATACATGTTGATCTAAGCTGCTTTGAGTTATACATATTTTGTGGAAGAACTGATGAAAGTATACAGTTTCTCGAAGTGAAATAGGTCAGGAAACATTTATATCTTGAACCCAATGCTACGAAGTTGATTCCTTTAACCACTAAGGTATAATCTCAATAATGCTAAACATGAATAGTTCTAGAAGTAGCTACAACACTTAAGACGATTTTCATCAGAATGTCAGATAATTTGAACCAGTTTTTAATAACAGTTTACTTTTACAAGTAAAACTATGATACAAAGAATAACTTCCGATTGCATTAAATATTTTCTTTTTATATAAAGTAGTATGAAGGGGAAACGGCAATTTAATCTATCAGATTACGGAAAATGTTAAGTGGAAAATCCAATTAAATACAAGTATATATTGTATTAACAATTATTAACTCATAATCAATCTGCTTTATAAGCTTGTGAACAACATATTCTCTAATTTTTAAATGAACCAGGAAATTAACGTAATCGTTAATACTATGATGTCTTTGTGAAGTAGAGCGGTAGAGATTTCCAGTTGAAAAAGCATGTAATTAAATAGATTATACTAACTTCATTGATTGATTGACTGATTGCTTTCGGTGTAGATTGGAAAGGCTAATAACCAACCAAACTGTACAGTTAAAAACGAAGTATACTGACTCAAAGTTCTTCACAATCAAACTACAATGAATCAACCGATTGGATTATATTTCTGTCTACATTGTTTCTAATGGATTTGAATAATTAATTATGGAGCAAGTCAAAATATACAGTTTGAACACGTTTTCACAGACTTATTAAAACTAAGAGATACATTACTCATAATGGAAAGGAATATAATAATAATAATGAATTGTCACATAGGTATGTAAGTTATGGTGTGTACACACAGTGAACAAAGTTAATCGGTAAATGAACAGAGTATATTTGAACAGTGATGCTTCAGACAAAAACTGTGGATTTTTCTAGATATTAGTCCAAACAATTATCATAAATGATGATGAATACTTGAAACTTATATCTCACTTTCATACAAAATTTGTTCATCAATGTATCATCTTACAGTCATGTAACAAATCCTTTTTTAGCCTTAATAATGACTGTTTATCCAACTACCATTGATTGCTGTTGTAATCGATAGAAATGTCCACTCTAAATAGTTTTTGCAACATGGCTCAGAATCGATCACAACGGAGTAGGTGTATACACTCTCTGTCTTCCCTTAAACTATGAGATTAAAATCGCTTCATATCTTTCTTTCTGTGAACTAACTCTTTCTTCCTTTACTATGTCCTTATATGCAATCTTTCTTTTATACATTACCACCATTGACTTAACCACTCCTATGAATCCGGTGTTCGTCTTGCTGTGCTAATGCGGTATGGCAACTCGGACCGATACATATATGTGCGTGGTCCTACGTTGTAGCTGACTGATATACATATAATGCGCAAAGTAGTTTGTTAGTAATGTGTTTGAAATAAAATTCTTTACATTTAGTCTTGTTGACATTAGATTATATTTCATACTGTACGTATTAAGACAAGGGGAAAAAAAGAAACATGAGAATTAGTTGGTTATTCTATGTTGAGTTAGTTTTCAGGGCTCGGATAAATATTTCTTGAACCGTTGATTTATAATATTTTAAGCATATTTTTGTTGATAATCAAGCACTGCTTATTACTTTCAACTGTATTCATTGTTTAAGGAACTTATATTTTAAGGTCATCTGTTAAAAATGAACAATAATGGTAGATAAATTTCATGACATATTTATAACTGGTAACAGC